TGCCCTCAGGATTTATCCTGAGATCCTGTACCTCAGATTGTAGAACCTTTGTCAGTGTCAGCCATGTGGATGAGTCACGGCCATTGCTTGGCCAATGTTTCAGCTCCAAAAGTTTATGAACCATAAAAACTATAGATTTCCTAGACTTACTCCAACTTTACTAAGTTACAGGCCCTAGGAGACTATGAGGAAGAAATAATTTCCCTTTCTTAAACTATAAACATAACTTTAACCTGCAGTGTATTTCCTGACTGTATTTCATAGTTACGAGGATTGCTTAACATAGATTCTGAAGTCAACTTAGCTATACAAATATTGTTCTCCATGCAGTACTTCCTTAGAATGGAACATATCTACTATTAACTTAGAAATACTTCCTTATAGATCCTTGTGAGTTCGAGACCAGCCTGGGCTACAAAGTGAGTGAAAAGCCAGCCTGAACTGCACAGTGAGACCCTGTCAAAAAAGAAGGAAGGAAGGAAGGAAGGAAGGAAGGAAGGAAGGAAGGAAGGAAGGAAGAAAGATGCTTCCTTCTAAACTGAGGTAAATGAGTTTGGTTTAGATACTTTGGTTATTTCTGGAAATCAGCAGAATCCTTAACTAGCAAACAATCTATAAACACATACCTGGTGCCAGCAATAACTGGATTGTCAAGAATCACAGAAACTGACCAATTTTTTGTGCAGAATCACAATCATTAAAGCTTATTACAAAACACTACCAAGGCTGCCTTGGAATTCTATGTCTGAGTATTTGCTGACTCAACTAATTCTTGTTAAAAACAAAGAAGAGGCTGCTATTAAGTAAAGACACATTTCATCAGCAAAGCTGAACGACACAGAACACACGTGCCACACACCACATAACACGCTCATACCTTGAGATCATCACATTCCATATCTTCTCTGGGCTTATTCCACTGTTTTAAATATTCCATATATTTTCGCTTTTCTTCACGTAATTTCTCTCTTTCCTAACAAAAAATTAATAAAAATTATTAAAAAGAAATTATTAGGCCACATTCCCATCAACTGAGAACCTGTCTGACCTGTGAGCGCTTGGGCCCAGCCCAGACCTACCAAAGCGGGAACTCTGGGGTGGGGCCTGCACAAAGGCAGGGTTCTGTTTTGTTTTGTTTGTCTTTTTCAGACAGTCTCACTATGCAGCTCAGGCTGGCCTTGAGTTCACTCTGTAGACCAGGCTAGGTCATGAACTTGCAAGATCCTCCTTCCTCAGCCTCCCAGAGTGCTGGGATTACAGGTATGCACCACCATGCCCAGCCAGCAATTGGTATTTTAATCAGTGTTCCTAGTGATTTTAATATACACAAAAGTTTTAGAAGCAACTGATCAGAAAAATGTCCATCAAAATAATGCTACAAAGATTGCAAATCAATTCACCAGCTCCTGATTATTTAATCTGGCTCTGCCTATATTACTTCACCCCCTATTTTGAGTCAGTTAAGATCCTGACAACTAGAGTACTTAAAACTCCTGGGCTGAGGAGATAGCTCAGTGGCACAAGCTCCTGCCTGGCAAGCACAAGGTAGTGAGTTTGATTCCTGGTACCAAAACAAAACACCTTTCATTGTATTTGCAATACGTTTTGTATCAAGATTCATTTGAATATAATAACTTAGAGACTGGCAGAGGAAACAGTACGTAAAATCAACAGTATTAGGGTATGGTTGATGGACTTTCTTATAGCATAGGCTATTTCTCCTGTTCACTTGACCTTTTGAAGCTATTACTTCTGATATCTGAAACTACACAATAAATGTTCATTTTCAGAGGCCTCTCATAGAGCGAGCACAAATTGTTTAGAATTGCACTTTAAAATATTAAGTGATGGGTAAGGGCAGGTAAAAATACTGTGTGCTGAACCTTATGTCATTCCAAAAAGGCACGCAAAGAGATGCTGACCTTAATTCATTTATTAAATTTTCCAAAGCGAAAGGGAAATAAACCAATATTGTTTCTTGTCCCTCTATCCAGTCATTAATGTGAATGAAAATGGTAAAAGCATTTGAAAATCAACCATGAACTGAAATATGTAAAATATTACTGTATGTAGAAACAATAGCTGAGAGACTTGAATACCTTTTCTCTTTCTATTTTAAGCCTCTCCTTTTCTTCTTTTTTCTTTAGTCTCTCTTCTTCAATGATTTTCTTCAGTTCTTCCCTCTTTTTTTCTTTATCTTCCTTTTCTTTTTTCTTGGCTTCCAAGGCATTTGCTTTTTCTCTTTTTAATTTAGCCTTTTCAAAAGCTATAGAGAAGGTCAAACTTGAAAATGTATACAGGTAAAAGAGTATTTGGCATTTTTTGTTAAAACAAAAGACCATGAAGTAGTTTATGGGTAAAAGAGATCAACAAACTTGTAAAATTTCTCAAAGGATTGATTGATTAAAATCAGAAAAGCAAATTGTGTAGGTTTTTTTTTCTTTTTGAGACAAGATTTTGCTTTATGATTTAGTCTTGAACTCACTATGCAACACAAGCTGACCTAATGGCAATCCTCTTGCCTCAGCCTCCCAACTGCTGGGATTATAGGCATGTGTTACAATGTCTGGCCAAATGGGACAGGTTTAAGACAAACTATAGTACCAGGACAATCACATTGTAACTTTCTAAGTCTTGACATTCAAATTGTGATCTAAGGATCAGCAAGGTGGCATATGCCTGTAATTCCATCACTCAGTAGGTCGGAGGCAGGAGGATCACTGCATTTGAGACCAGCATGGGCTACAAAATGAGTTCAAGGCCAGCCTGAACTGCATAGTAAAACCCTGTCTCAAAAAGAGTCAACTAATCGGTCACCGTATAAGTCAAACACAATGGTCTGAAACATTGTGCAAGTCCCAGAAACTCCCCTTTCTGCTTAACCTAGATTAAGTCGTTTAATAAGATATGCTATACCTTAAAATATTGGTTTTAATTTTTTTAATTAATTAATTTATTTATAACAGTGTCTCCACTACAACTTGGACTGTAATGATCCTCCTGTCTCAGCCTTCCCAGTGCTGGGATTACAGGTACTCCCCAACATGCCCAGTTTCACTCAGGGTTCCGAGCGGCACAGCATGTGGTACCAGGCATCAAATCCAGGACCCTGTGTTTGCCAGGCAGGCGCTTAGACCACTGAGCCATCTCCCCAGCCAAAATATTGTTTTAAGAGATCAATGGACCTAATTTATTTTTAAAAAGTTAAAGGAAAAATTGACAGTTATCTTTGGGAAAGGAATAAACGAGAAATACGTCATTTTAGAAATACCATATTTGGCCACAGGAGAAACAGTCTTCGTAGTCTCTAAGCAGTTTTGAAGAGATAGAGGAGGAGGGGGAGAAGAAAAGAGAGGAGAGGGGGAGAGGGAGGGAAAGGAGCAGGAGTGAAGGGAAGGACAGGGGAGTCTTTTAAGACAAGGTCCTAACTAGTAGCCCAGGCTGGCCTTAAACTCGGGATCCTCCTGCTTTAGCCTCTCAAGTGCTGAGATTACAGGCATCGCCATCATGTCTGGCTGAAGAGGATGTTAAAACTCACCCAATGTCTTCATTTCTTCTTGCTTCAAAAGTTTATCTCTTTCTTTAGTAGCTTTATTCCTATAACTTGCAATAGTCTGTTTACTAGCAATGCTGTCTTCCTGAAAAACAAAACAAGAAACTAAAGCTATAAACCGCAAGTAATGGTTTGTCTGATCCTTTTAGTAATAACAAATAAAAACAAGAAATTTAAGAGCTCACACTAATTACCCTCTTTGTACTATAAGTGAGTTTTTATCCTAAAGTATTGACATGATTTGAGATCATTTTTATAGTTTACTAATATATTACCTTTAATAACGCTAATTATGAGGTAATTCTACATATTTAAAAATTAGTGGTATAACATCCCAAGAAAAAACTAGTAACATAATAGCAGTTTTAAAATAATGCATTACTATGGAGAAAAAAAAAAAGAAAACTAAAAGTAAAAAATAAATAAATAAAAAAGGAAAAGATAAAAAAAATAAAGCAATGCATTAGAAAAACAATCCTCTAGGTCACCTGATAAACCAGCTGATAACACATGATGTATGCAAGAGGCAGAGACACGTCAGAAACATTCTTGTGGCCAATGTTAAAATTTCATTTTTACTTTATTTCTCATAAAAATATTTTCAACCACATAATGTGTATTATATTACTATCTTTTATATTATAAATTCAATAAAACATAATTCACTTGAATACCTACCATGTACCAGGCACAGTGCTCATCATGATGCTAAACAAGAAACTTGGTCCCTTCGCTCACCTATTCACGGAAGTCAGAGCTTAAGTAAGTAAAATGTGAGAAGGCATTAGATCTGACTTTCAACCCTGTGAGTAAACAAAAGCTCAGAATTTGGCCAGATGCCAAAATTGACGAACCTATCTCATTGCTATTTGATTCTCAATAAAATTAATTTAAAAAAAAAAACTAGCCCAAAGAGACAGTTACAATTGAGTCAGAGATGGAAAATAAAAGTAGCAATTAGTCATTCTGACTTCGGTTGTCTCAATGAATAAAAGTATTAATATCATTCTGAATCATGTTAGACAAAAAAGCAAAGAGGTCAGTTTTATTGTTTTTAATCTAATTAATTAAATTATTATTATTATTATTATTATTATTATTATTTTGTGGTACTGGGGATTGAACTCAGGACCCTGTGCTTGCCAGGCAAGCACTTATTCTACTGAGCTATCTCCCTGGGCCCAAGGGGTCAGTTTTAAACTCAATTCAAATTCCATCTTGTATGTTATTTTGAAAAACCAAATTAATCTCTGAGCCTATGTCTTCAGTTATAAAATGGGATCCTACCTATTTTGAAAAGCCTGGAAGACTATATAATAAAGAATTTAATAGTAGGATACAATAAAAAGCAGTTTATTAATTGAAAATTATTTGGAAGAAGGAAACAGACCTCAAGTCAGAACAACAGAACAATTGCCATCTAATGTTTTTCACCAGGGAAGAAATAAGAAAAAGACATCTTCTGCTTGTCCTTCCTACAGTACTAGTAGCTCTCTTAGCTAACACTTAACTAAAGCCTGGAAATGGCTCTCAAAGATTCTTCAACACATTTTTTTTTTTTTTCCCATTTTAGGGAAGGGTCTACAGGGTGTTCAGGGTCTCACTACTAGATCGGACTCGTAGTGATTCTCCTCTTTACAGCCTCCCAAGTGCTAGGATTACAGGTGTGCGCCACCATGCCCAGTCTCAATGGGCCCTGGGGTTGGGGCTAGCACGGCAGACTGGGGATCGAATCCCTGGCCCCTGCACCTGCTCGCAGGTGCTTTTTCAACACATTTCAAAGTCATGCTGACTGTGATACAAGCTACACTCTGAAGCAGCTGGACCCTGGCCTGTGAATCATTATAGTCATCAGCAACTCCTACTAGCAGAATAGAACAAAGAAGAATGTGTACAATGAGGGTAGGAGAAAATAAAGTACAGAAAGAAAGCATTTTTTTTTTTCTTTTTTTTTAGACAGCGTCTCACTATGCAGTTCAGGCTGGCCTTGAACTCACTATTTAGCCCAGGGTGGCCCAAAATGTGGCAATCTGTATGCCTCAGCCTTGAATACTAGGATTATAGGTGTGTGCCACTCCACCCAACTAAGAAAGGTATTTTTTTTAAAAAACAGAACATCATTGTATAGTGCAGGCTGGACTTGAACTCCCTTATATAGATAGCTCAGGCTGGCCTCAAATGCATGGTGATTGCCCGCTGGACTTACAGGCATGTGCCACCAGGCTGGCTGGGAATTTTTTAAACAAGCAGAATAATCCAAAATAAATTCCTTTCCAGTCAGGCAACCACACTGGGTTACAAGTTTCCCAGTTCCAGAGATTTTTTTATAGTGTCCTTGCTCCCAAAATTGAGAAATGGCAAAAACCCAAAGAAAATTCCTCATTCCCAAAGATAAGAAACATTAAGTAGGGCAGATTAAAGCACCTCTTAGGCAGACACATGGGCCAGGGGTTTGATTCCTGGCCTGCCGTGCCAGCCCCACCGCCAGGGTGCACTGACACGCCAATGGAGACTGAGTGTGATGGCGCGTGCCTATAATCCCAGCACTTGCGAGGCTGAAAACAGGAGCATCACTATGAGTCCAGTCTACATAGTGAGACCCTATAGACCCTGTAGACCGTGTACCAAATACATTTAAAAAAAAGCGTAAGTAGGAAGCAAGCATAGAATTAAACATTATTCACCCTATACTTCCCTCCCTTTCTGTCTCAAAGCTCCTTAGGGAAGATATACTTTGTTTTCTGCAGTTGCTCAATCAGCACATGTCAGCAGTCAGTTACTTGTTTGGATTTAGGCTACCATTTTTTTGTTAGTTTATTTTCAGTCTATACAAAAAATAAATCTATTAAACATTATGAATAGTATATTTCAGAAGTATCTGACCATACAAAGGAATTGGAAAGCCCTCCTGAGTAACTACGAGCTAGACGTTGTGAAGAATGCCTACAAATGCAGCACTGAGCGGGGCAGTGGGAAGACTGCACGCTGGAGCTCAGCCTGGGAATGCTAGGAAGACAGTCACAAAGTACAAAATAAAAACAGCGGGGACGTAGCTCAGTGTGAAGGTCTTTGTTCAGTCAAATACTGGTGGTGATGATGGGGCTGATGACACACGGGACACCAGTCCTACAGACTTGTGTGCTTCATTTTCCATCATATCTACGTGAATAAACAGATCAGCCACACTGCATTCACTACTCAAAAATGCCCTATAAAACCTGAATCACTTGAAATGTATTTTCTTTCCTTTATTTATTTATTTTTTTGGCACCAGAAATCAAACTCCGGACCTTGCACTTTCCAGGCAGGCACTGTGGTCCCTCGAATACATTTTCTACCTTTTTCATTTCATCACTAGAAATCATGTGTTTTGTCTAGCTCAAGCATTATTACTTATTTTATTTTATTTTATTTTATTTTAATTTGAGACAGGGTTTCACTGTGCAGTTCAGGCTGGCCTTGAATTCACTTTGTATCCCAGGCTGAATTTGAGGCAATCCTCTGGCATCAGCCTTCCAAGTGCTGGAATTACAGGTGTGCACCACTACATTCAGCTGTTACTGCACCTTTGAAGTCTTCCATCACTTTATCGGGTCAGAAGTTAATATTCTTCACATTTCAAGCCTAAATTTATTCCCTGCATTTCACTCTACTTTACACATCAGTAACTGCTTATATGCTTGACTCTACTTGGTAATCAATCAATCAATCAATCAATCAATCAATCTCTGTGGTCTGACAGCCATGTCTAATTCATACTTTAAACCAGTGCAAACCTTAACTGCTGAGTAGCTGTCAATATACAAAGCACACATTTTCTAATGAGAAGCAACAGGTTTCTTCCTATAGGCCACAGGAGTGACAGAAACCAAATACTGCTTTTGTTTCTCAACACTGCTTTATAATGTTCTTACGCTCTTTACCTGACTAACAGATACTCGTTTGGGAAGTCTCCCTCTTCGTCTGTTAGCAGGACTGAAGATAAATGTAGGTGGATCATCAGGGAAGAAATAAGAAAAATCTTGTTCTGCTATTTTGTATGTTGAAAGAGATGATGCCTTAACAAAAAAGGGGGAACACAGTAACAATGCATTAGTAGACTACATACAAAGATGCTAAGTCATATATTCACTGTTATTGCTGCTGAAGAACAGGTCAAAAGAGAATTTCATGTTATTGTGTAGTGAAATACATTTCAGTTGGTTTGTTTGAGCATTTTTCTAAATCAGATAACTATCAGCTTTACCAGAAGTAAACTACAGTTCAAAGACTACTTTACCATAAATAACCAAGAATGTTTCCAGATTCCTGAAAATATTTCACAATTGCATGAAATTAATAATTTGTTTTGCTTTTGACTCATTTTGCCTGAGATTTTCTATTCCTGTAATTGTCAAACTCATGAGTTTCTTTCTTTTTACCTCAGATCTTGAACTTATTTCTCATCCTTGACTAACCCCAGACTTTTTACTAATTTTGGCCTCAGGGCAAAGATCATTCTTGTTCTCAAACAAGTGCCATTTACAGAAATATCCCTCATGAAGCATATAAAGAAAGTAATGATGCAAAAATCTTAAATATTAACAAAACAGGGATACTTCAAACTGGGATTTTCTACATAGTATTTTTCAGTAGACTACAACTTTTAACATCTAACATTTAGTCAGTTCTGGCCATGATAATAAACACTTTACAGCTGACTATCAGGAAGACTGTATTTTATCCCCCATAATCCTGGGTATGCACAATTGTCTAGTAGGTATGAATATAAAGTACATAGGATGGTTTCCTCTCAATGAGGTTTTTTTTTTTTTTGTTGCATTTTTGTATTTTAGTACAGGGACCTACAGGGTCTCACTACGTAGATCAGATTCGCAGTGATCCTCCCAAGAGCTGGGATTACAGGTGCAGCACACCACGCCCAGTCTCAACTGAAGTCTCAGCGCACCCTAGTGGCAGGGCTGGCACTGCAGGCTGGGGACTGAACCTCGAACCCCTGTAATTGCCTAAGCAGGGGCTTTAATTCACTGAGCTATTTGGCTGGCCCCAGGATGAATTATTTCTTAACTGAAATGATTAGAAACAAGTGTTTTGGACTTTTAAGATTCTGGAAAATTTGCACATCCATGATGAGATATATGTTGGGGATGGAACCCAGTCTAAACATGAAATTCACACAGGTTTACGTACATACTTCATACATGTAGCCTGAAGGTAGTTTATGATACTTTTACTAACTATATGCATGACACAAAGTTTCATGCAGTTTCATTCATGATATAGGATTTTACAATTACAGAGTCATGTCAGTGCTCAAAAAGGCTTTCGGAATTTGCGGCATTTCAGATTTTCAAATTAGGGATGATCAACCCTATATACTCAAAAAGGCCAAAATAGGTTTTAATACATTTATCGCCCCAACTCCTTATTCATATACACACAATAAACATAAGTGCCCATTTTTTGTGTGCTTAGAGCTAGCCCTGACTGGTGCTTATGCTCATCACCACTGGGAATCAAATTTTGCTGTTTTCAAGTATGGGCTAGAAGTATACTAAAATATCCACTGGGAATCCTTTATTATGCTTTTTTTTTCTTTTCAATCCCATTCATTTATGTGTGTGTGTGTGTGTGTGTGTGTGTGTGTGTGTGTGGCCAGTTCAGCCCACCAGGGGGCAGGGCAGGCTGGCATGTGGTGCTGGGGGATTGAACCGAGGTTCCTATGCTCTGCTAAGCTTGTTCCAAGTAGGTGCTTTAGACCACTGAGCCATCTCACCAGCCCTATTATGCTTTTGATAAAAAATGTTTACTATACCCATAGTTTTTGTTTATTAATATTGAGCTTTTTATATTTATTAACTGAAAAATATGATGATGTCTTTTACTACCTTTTCCCAATTAGATTTGCTCACTGATATGTAACTGATTCTGGCCAACTGGTGATTTTAAAATGTATAATTATTCAAGGGGCCGGGGAGATGGCTCAGTGGAATAAGCGCTTCCCTGGCAAGCGTAAGGGCCTGAGTTCAATCCCCGGTTCAGAAAAAAAAAAAAAAAAAAAAGTATAATTATTCACAGAGTCACTGATTGCCCATCATGTACTAGACACTGTTCCAGCATCCATGTATCAGAAGTACCTAAGTCATTAAAACTTTCTGCAAGCATCACTTAATATGGATCTCTGATATTCCATGCTATTAGGAGCGTAGTTCTAAGCACTGCCCTATCAAGGCAGACATATAATCCCATTTAAATTATCTTTCAGATGACTGTCTTACACAGTTTAAATTTTGTTTCTTTTCTTTTTTTTTTTTTTATGATACTGGGGATTAAACTCAGAGCCTTGTGCATGCTAGGCAAGCATTCTACCACTGAGCTATATCCCTAGCCCTGTCTTGTAAGTTTTAATCATGTCTATATGCTCATTTTCCCTTTCTTTTCGAGATGGAGTTTCATGATGTAGTTTGAGCTGGCCTTGAACTCACTACAGCCCCAGCTGGCCTCTACTTGCAGTGAACAGACTGCCTCAGCCTCTGAAGTGCTGGGATGACAGGCATGTGCCACCACATCTGGCTCCATTTTTCTACTGGTGTGCTAATGTTTTCTTAATTATAGCTCCTCATTGTGTTTACTGCAGGTATTTTTCTCTATGACACCACACTGGTACCTTGGTTCAAGAACTTCATTTTTTCTAAGATTTTGGAAAAGATGGCCAGATTTGTGTTTATGTGGGGAAGATAGTGTCCTGTCACCTGATGCAGAGTTCAGAAACAAAAAATTCCGCCAAACACTTGTTTGCTAATCAAACTGAAAAATAAAAAAGCATCCATGAACCAAGGTACCACTGTACATGCTTTTAAAATTTGTTTATAACATTTTTATTTATTTATTTTTTACATACTTAGTACAGGGTCCACAGAGTCTCACTATGCAGCTTGGACTCATAGTGATCCTCCTGTTTTCAGCCTCCCACGTGCTGGGATTACAGGCCACACCATCACACTCACTATGCCCAGTGTCAACTGCTGTCTCAGTATGCCCCAGGGGCACAGCCAGCATGGCACATGGTTCCAGGGATTGAACCTGGGTCCCTGCACTTTGCCTAAGCAGGCGCTTTAGTCTGCTGAGCTATCTGGCTGGCCCTTGTTCATACATTTTTAAACCTACATGTTCATATTATCAATTCAGTCTCATTGTTGGTTTTTCTTTTGTACAGCTCCTCTTAAATATTTCAGCTTGTATAATATTAAAATTTGCTTTATTTCATCTCTTTTTTTACATCAGGTCTATTTTTCCAAATGATTAACCCATGTCCTGGTTTTGTTTATTACATAATTTGCTTTACCTCTAGAGATCTGAAATGTTACTTTTATATAAACATATTTTCTTTTGATGTTTTTACATAAAAGGAAATACACATTAAGCATTATTAGCTGACTTCTGTCAAGTTCATAATCTTTCTAACCCATCCAGTGCTTTTCTTACTTAATTCTTCTCTATCCCATTGATAGGTATTTTACGTCTTTTAAAAATTAGGTTTCATTTTACCATACCATTTCTCTTAGTGTACAATGAAGACAAAAAATTGATTTTTCTCCCTTAATAGCTAGTAATGAAATACAACCTATCTCTTTAGCCTCTGTTGGTCTTTTAATACATTTTTATCTGATAGGATGCTTTAAAATCATCGTTCATAACCCATCATTCATAAACCAGAACCACACAATTAGAAATCTGTAGTAGCTCCACTTCCTAACCTTTCTTTATGGCAAGTTTTTCATCTATTTTCTCCAGTCCTGGTTCATCTTTTCTATAAGAGAAAAGGAGCCATCTAACAATTCTAGCAACTGCTAAATTAGTATGTAGTCCAAAAAATACTTTCAAAAAGTACTAAAAATTAACTCCAGATAAAAAGAGGGTCATTTCAAACCATCTTTCAAGTACTATTACTGCAATGTTTTATAATATTACCCATTTCTATTTTTTTCTTCCTTCCAAATAATTTCACTACTCCAGTTACCTTAATTTTAATAATTCCATCTTGTGTTTCACAGTGTTGCTTCAGAAAAAGCTTTAATTTTTCATGAGAAAACAGGTGTTTTCTCCGACTACAGAGGGAAAGAAGAGAAGATAGTGTTAGCATCAAAGAACTCCACTCAAACTCCATCTCTGTAAATTTATAACCTGACTAGACAATGAAGGATAATTTCAGCTTCTAAGAGTACTTATATATAAGTTATGAGAAACTTTATTCAGAGTTATAAGTTGAGTGAAGCTATTATAAAATGTCTACCACAATAAAAAATACAAAAGTATTTCTGGAAAAATTTAAGTGTTTTAATTACATTCAATAAACTCTCTTATCAAGAAACAACTGAAGGCCATAAAGATAGCTCAGCAGTCTAAGTGCCTGCCTAGGTTAGCAAAAGGATCTGGTTGATTCCCAGTACTGCATGCCCTGCTGGTCCTGCTCTGGGCATGCTGACCAGGTGTAGTGGCACACACCTATAATCCCAGCATTGGGGAGGCTGAAAACAGGAGGATCACTATGAGTCCAAGCTGCATAGAAAGTCCCTGTACCAAATACGTTTTTTATTTTTTTGGTGAAACTGGGGATTGAACTCAGGCCTTTGTGCTTGCCAGGGAAGCGCTTATTCTACTAAGCCATCTCCCCGGCCCCAAATATGTTTTTAAAAAATCTATATATCATTAAAAAGAAAAGGAAAAAAACGGAGTTAAAAGCTATGATGAAAAAAAACAAAAAAAAAAATTTAAGATAACAGGGAAAAATAAAAAGTATTATAATCCAGTCCAGATAATGTCTCTAAAAGTGTACCATGATGTAGTATACTTTTCTTATTTATTTTATGGCCTATTACTCTGGTTTAAATCTGTATACAATACATGATAATTAACTTTGTAAGGTTTTATATGATAAACAATGAATCTCATGCTGGAAAAATAAAAGACAGGTGGAAGGAGGGGTTTGAAGAAAGGAATTTAAATGTGTTATGTACATATATCAATCCTTTCAGTGAATGTAGTCATTATGTAACAAATGTGTGTAATTCCAGCACTTGGGAGGCTGAGACAGGAAGATTGTCCCAAGTTTGAGTTAAGGCCACTCAACTATACAGTGAGACCCCGTCTCAAAAAAAAAAAAAAAAAAAAAGCTATGATGAGCCAGGAGATAAACGTTTGAAAGCAGTAGCCTCCTCTAAATGTGTATTCTTTTAGTACACTTTAAGTCTCATAACAGCAAAAACTTGGGTTCACTAGTGTAATCCAGCATCATACAGTAGCTGGTAAGGCTGCAGCTGCTCAAACTGTACTAATTTACATTCCCATCAACAACAAAGAAGGGCTTATTTTCATACTCATCTTTGCCAGTATGTGTTCCTGATGACAGCCATTCTGACCGGGCTAAAGTGAAATTGTTCACTCCTGAACCGCAGTGTCCTGGACAGTGACTACTGACGTCACGTGAGTTCCTGGGTTTCTGAGCCAGGCTCTGGCTACGCTGCTAAGGCTCACTCTGCACTCACCCATGCTCTAGTCTCAGCCTCACAAGTAGCTGGAACCACAGGTGCATAAGCCCACACCCAAGTTCATATGTGGCTTTTTAGCAAATCAAAAAATTCAGTCCTTTATCCTACATGGCCACATTTACAGTGTTTAATAACCAGGCAACAGCCACTGGCTATTAAACGAAACAGTGTGTATGTAACATTCCCATTATCATAGAAAGTTCAACTTGTCAGTGCTACCCTAGCATATAAAGTTTTATTAGAGAATTATCACTACCACTTTATTAACAAAGAACAGTATCACCTTTTGATGTAGTAATCTTTTGATACAGAGCTTAAGCCACTTAAAGAATTTTACTGCCAATTATGTTCTCATTTTATAATTCTATGGCTTACCAGTTAAGAAGAAATGGACTAACAACACTATAACCAAGACACAGCACTAAAATGATGAACTATGACAAGCCATGTACTTCCATACAAACCCAGAAAGTGCTCTGTCTGACTCAGGGTTTAAGTTCATACATACTGTTTTTCTTGGGATACACAAGTATGTATGGGACAAAAAGCATGAGGGAACAAGCAAAATTACTTTACATCAAATGATATATAAGATTGATTCCTAGTTATTCTCAGATGACTAAGAGCCTAATCACAATGGGCAACAAAAGGAATTTTCCTAAAATAGATATATGATACATATAGCCTATTGTTTTATATAGTAGGTACTATCTCTCCTCTGATTGGGTTTCAAACAAAAAATTTTAAGGATATTTATATTTTATTATGGAATCTGCCCCCCAAATCCAGGGATGAACCCCAGACTTTGTAGGTGCAAAGCATGAGCTCCACACTCAGCTCCATACCCTGCCCCTGTTTAACTTTCTCAAGGAAGAGACAGTGATCAGATGCTGTGTTCAGGGTTCAAATACTACAAATGAGAGATCTCTGTAAGTACATTCCAATTTTTGAGCTCTGAAAACTGAATTGTCTCATGAGAAATACTTCATAAAGGATACTTAATTCTTCAGCTTGAAGACTATTTGAAGATAGTCACTAATCTAAACAAAGAGCTCAAATAGTCCATTTGGATTCATTTATATGAATATTCTATGAACATATAAATTCAAATTTATTTTAAAATGGAAGCAGCCAGATATGGTGGTGCATGCCTATGATCCTAGCCCTCGGAAGGCTAAGGCAGGAGGACTGTCATGAGTTCAAGGTCTGCTTGAACTCAATAGTGTAACTTTTGTCTCATAAAAAACAACAACAAAAAACTGGGGAGTGGGGAAGAAAAAAAGAAATGACGACTTGCAACACTATCCATTTATTTTAAATCAACCCTTACTCTAATATACATAATTATTTTACTATAAACTACACCAGAGATGATATTTTTACCTGATTTGTGTTGCTTTAACAATTGCAGATTCATATAATTCCTTTTTAGTGGGTTGCACTTTGTATTTGAACAATAAGGGATCAACTGCATCTTTTTTCTTTCTAGAAAAGAAGAGAAAAAAGTCAATATAATTTGGAAACATGAGATTTGTGGGAACTTAGTTTCTATGTCTCTACAAAGCAAATCTTCTATACATTTAGTTTAACTCTTCCTCCTCACTCTATTAGCTAAAGTAGCACAAAGCACACAAATTAATTTTGGTAGGCATTATGGTTTGTGTCTAGCTGTCCCCCTAAAGCCTCATGCGGTCAAGGGTGGGGCTTTTTCAGATAGCTGGATTGAGAGCTGGATTGAGAGTGTGTGATGCTGGGATTAAGGGTACATAATTACTAACTTACTCCACTGATTGGCTCAGCATAGTTCTAGATGAGTGCTATGGGCAGGTAGCCTGGATTGAATACAAAAGGATAGAAAAAAGCTGCTAGTCACTTGTAGCTTGCTGCCTCAATAATTTCTGCCTACTATGAACTGTTTCTCTTCTGTGACACCTTTATGCCCCTGCCACCCTGCTTTTGAGTCAGCCAACTATGGTCTGAAATCTCTACTGACTATGAACCAAATAAAACTTTCCTCATTTAACTTTGGTTGTTAGGTATTCTGCCTCAGCAACAAGAAAAGTAAATAAGACAGTAGGTATTTTAATTACGCATTTACTAAGTTTTCATTAAGTTGGTTAAATAAGCTAGAGGTAAATAAACACTAAGCACTCAATTTAGGGTAAATAAATTAATAAAAAGTAGTTTTTAGACTTGCTTTTTTTTTTTTTTTTTTGCTAGCAGGAATCAAACTCGGGATCTTGCACCTGCCAGGCAGGCACTGTGCCACTGACCTATATCCTGGACTTGCTTTTAAACTTTCTTTTTTTCAGGAAGGGCTGCATGGTTAGCCAGCATTTTGGCCCTAGCCTTTCAAGGTCAGTGAAGACTCGGGACATAGGAGAACCTTTTTCTTTCTTTAAAAGGGGGGGGGTGGAGAACATAGTTATATATATATATATATAGTTATATATACATATATCATATAGTTAGAATGATACAGTATTTGTAACCTTTTAAGATTGGTTTCTTTCAGTTAATAATATGAACTTAGGTTCCTCATGTCTTTTCAAGACAGATTTTTTTTTTTTTTCCAGAACTGAGGATTGAACTCAGGCCCTTGCACTTGCCAGGGAAGCACTTATTCCACTGAGCCCTCTCCCCAACCCCTAAATTTTTTTTTTTTTTTTTTTTTTTTAGCATTGAATAATATACTCCATCGTCTTTGTGTACAAAGTTTATACACTCACCTACCAAGTGACATCTTGGTTGCTTCCATGTTTTGGCAATTACAAATAAAGCTACTATCAATATCCACGTGCAAGTTTTTATGTGGATGCAAGCTTTCAACACATATGGGTAAATGCCAATGAGTACAGTTGTTGGATAATATAAGAGAACATCTAGCTTTGTTAGAAACTGCCAAACTGTCTTAGGTGAATATAATACTTTTAATTCCCATCAGCAACTAAGGAAAGTTTCTTTTCTCTGTTCCACATCTTCACCAGCATTCAATGTTTTGGATTTTGGCTACTCAGCCTCTCATTTTAATTTCTAGTTCCCTAATGACAATGGATATGGAATATCTTCCACACTGCTTCCCTGCCACCTACAAATCTTTTTTTTTTATTTATTTAGTATAAGGTCTACAGGTCTCATTACACAGATCAGACTCACAGTGATCCTCCTGTTTTCAGCCTCCCAAGTGCTGGGATTACAGGCACATGCCACCACGCCCAGTCTCAATTGACTCTCAGCAAGCCTCATGGGCAGGGCCAGAACAGCACACAGGGGATTGAACCCCAGTCCCTGCATCTGCCTAAGCAGGTACTTTAATCCGCTGAGCTATCTGGCCGGCCCCAGATTTTCTTTAGTAAAGTGTTTGTTCAGGTCATTTGTCCCTATTTTAACTGAGTAGTTCATTTTCTAATTACTGACTTTTTAGAGTTCTTCGTAAGAGTTTTGAGAATTATCGTATGTCTCCCACAAACATTTTTTTCCAGCTGTGGCTTGTCATCTCATTCTCTCAACAACATCTTTAGCAGATCTAATGTGTTTAATGAAGCCTAGCTTATTATTTCTTTCATGAACTGTCCTTTTATGTCTAAAAAGTCATCACCATATTTAAGATCCAGGTTTTCTCCTTTGTTATCTCTTCGGGCAGTGATGGTGAACCTTTTAGAGGTTTCAATGATCTAAAAAGCCCAGCTGTGGCCTGCATGGCATAGGGTCGGCCCCAGTGTCTTAAGGGTTTGGGTAGTCTGTACTTTATATTGAGGACTGTGATCCATCTTGAGCTAATTTCTGTGATGGGCACAGGCTCTACATTTAGACTTTTTTTTTTTTTTGTAAGTATATGTTTAATTGTTCCAGCATTTGCTGAGATTATCTTTGTTCTGGTTTAGCCTTTGCACCTTTGTCAAAGATCAGTTAACCAAAACTTATGTAGCTCTATTTCTGGACTGTTTGTTCTGTTTTACTGATCTATTTGTCTATTCTTTCACCAATACTGCAGTTAACCTTCGTAAGCCTCAAGTTTTTCTTTGTTGAATAGCAATATTCTTTGAAGACAGACAAAAATGCATACAAAATACTTGACTCAGTTCCTGGTATAGTCAATTTTCAAATGCTAGTTATAGCTACCTAAAATAGTTCACATCAGAGAAGAATAAGATATGACTTGATAGACACTGACATTCAGACATTTGATATTTCAAAATAAGAGTGACCTCAGATTATTTGAAAAGTATTGTATTAGCCACTAAAAATAGGGAAGTAAAGTTTAGGAGTTTTGCTTTGTTTTTATTTTTTGGAGGTACTGGAGGTTGAATCTAGGGCCTTCAGACTGAGCCACATCCTTAACTCTTTTTAAAAAAATTTCGAGACAGGGTCTGCCTCAATTGCTAAATTCCCCCAGGCTGCATTTGAACTTTTGCTCTTCACACCTCAGCTTTTCAGGGTGCTGAGTTAACAGGTATGTGCCAACACACCTAGTTTGGAGAAAGTATTTTAAAGATGCCTAAAAGGGAACAGAAGAGGAATACAGCTATTATGGAGAGCAGAGGACTTTACCAGTAGTAGACTCACTTGGACTTTACCTACCAGGGTCAGGGGTGCACCTTAGAGGCAGATGCCTGTCTAGCAAGAGCAAGGCCTTGGGTTTGACCTCAGTATGGCAAACAAACAAACAAACAAACAATTACAACAGATCTACACATTTATATAACTTTTCCCCATCAGCACTCAGCTGACACAGTCATCAAATGACTCAATTCTAGATAGTAACAGAGGTTCTTTACCATATGCACCAAGCCAAAAGCATTAAATATAGAACTGTTCTAAGTAAACATAAATGGGATGAATAAATGTAATTGAAAGAGGCTAAGCTAAAACTGTTCTTAGGGCAGCTAATTAGAATTGCCTAGGTAGGTTTCAATTTGAACATTCTAGCATTTGTTAAGCTATACTGATGAGCAGTACACCTCTATGACTAGAGAGGAATGAAAGGAAGCCATGAAAGAATTTTCAATGGAACACTACCAATCTGATAAATAACTTTATAAATGATTTTAAAAATCACTTACCTATTTTGAAAAGAACTATTCTGTGTTTCTGAATCATCACTATCACTGATGATAATGGTTTCTCCATCTGTGCTAACATGTCCATTAGCAAAGCCATTTTGATGTGATGGAGGGAGGACTTCCAAAATTCTACATTGCAACCTGCAATCAAATGACTATTTAAAAATGCGAATTGTTTTTTATTTTACAGCCAAACATTAAGAACAGTCTTATTATTACCAACAATTGAAAAGTCATTATTTGTGCCATGTAGATGGTTAACTGTGCTGTAACAAGACACAAGGGAGGCAAATTTTACTCAACAGAATGAAAACCCAGTCATCAGACGTATGAACCACGAAAGGACCTATCTTATAGAAGCTATGATCCCCTTAATAAACAATTTAGTTACAAAGAAATGGAGAAAGAACTATGCTGAGAAACAATTTAAGATTAAAAACATTAAAACAATTTCATACTATTTTAAAATTCCATTTATGAAGACTCTTAGCATTATATTCTTTTTTTTTCTTTTCAAAGTTTTATTGATAAACATATAGCAATGAGACAGTTTCAAATCAAATCGAAAGTACAGTTTCAACAAATAATACACTGCATATATTCTTCTTAGTGGTTAATTGCTGTACAAGATGCAGACTTGTGATCCTACTTACAAACACCATTAGAACAAATCATTCTATTCATTAAGAGAATGCAACTATATATCTATCCCAACCACTTTGAATACACAGATACAAAATGGACATTCATAGTTATATCCCAATTTTTTTTTTAAGTTCCGTTGTTGAATATTATAGGTGTGTAAACTCAGCAAAATATTCTAAAAGAGTACAGAAGCCCATAATAGCATTGGGTCTTCTGTTTAATTGGCAATGTCAGAAATTATTGACGTGAGTCCCCCACAGCTCAACATAACAACATGGCTTTACTTCCTATATTTCATCTTCATACTTTTCTACTGGATGGTTAAGACCAAGGTAAAGCAGAACCTATGCAACAAGAGTTGTAGCTTTTTGGTTTGAGAAGGTCAGTGAAATGCCCTCAGGATTTATCCTGAGATCCTGTACCTCAGATTGTAGAACCTTTGTCAGTGCAGCCATGTGGATGAGTCACGGCCATTGCTTGGCCAATGTGCTCTCTGTGAAAGCCTGAGAGAGTGTCTTCTCCTCATGTGACTCTCCTTAGGAATTATATTCTTTATAATTACCTTCTTTGTGTTAGCTATGGATTTAGTTTGTTCTTTTCCTAGTTTCTTAATTTATAAATTTAGGTTGTTAATTCGAGATCTTTCTCATTTTTTAATGAAAACACTTACAAATTTCTTTCCTTAGCTCTGCTTTTACTATCTTAGAAGTTTTGATATGCTGGGGACTTTTTTGTTCTTTTCATTCATCTCTTACATATTTCTTGTTTCCTTTGTGAATTTTTTCCTTTGAGTCACTAGATTTTTAAGAATGTTACTCATTTTTTCCACCCAGTTATCCTGTGATCACAGAAAATCTTTTTATACTACTGTAACCATTAATTTTAGGCAGAGAAAAGACAAATCCATTCTTTCTTTCCTGAAGTTGAATACCCTGTTCTCCTGCCCCTGGAGAACTCCAGCTGGTATACTCTGGGCCTCGCAGCAGTCCCCTATCTCCTGTGCCTCCACTCTGAGCTCTCAGGCTTCACACTCAGAGCCATGCCTACAGCCTCTCTCCCTGGTTCTCTAACTTGCAGACAGTCTGCTGAGGAACTTCTGAGCCTCCATAATTAATGGGAACTCTTCTCTGTTCACGTCCGCCCCCCCCCATAAGTCCAATGAGACTAATTTGGGACCTAGGGCCAATCCTCCAGAATGTCTCATGCGCACTTGAGAAAAGCGTGTGTCTCCTGTGGGCTGAGCATTCCATACATATGTGTTATACCTGGTTGATTTACTGTATGGTTTAAGTCATGTATTTCCTTACTTCTGTCTGATCATTCTGTCTACTGTTGATAGTGAGGCATTTAAGTTTCTAACTACTACTGTCTATCTCTCTTAGGAGTTATATTCTTTATTCTGTTTAATGAACTTTGGGATAGTCTATAATTCTAACTATCCACATTAAACTTATATGCGACTTTAATTTTTGTAGTGCTGGGAACAGAATCCATAGCCCTGCTCATGCTTACAAACAGCAGACCGCTGAACTACAGCTTCAACTACAGCAATTATACACGGCCTTGAAAGTGCCATGCAGGCCAGCAATAGTACCTGGATTTTATGGGCCATGACTTCAGAGTCATTCACTACAACCAACATATTCTTTAATTTCATTTCTACTCTGCCAATTTTCAGGGCCAGAAAAAATTATCACCTACTTTTTCCATAAGCCTTCTTGTCCCAACTAATTTACTTTCTGCCTTGAAATAATGAGTTTACTTCAAATTTCAAGGTTAGGATCTTAGCATTATGATTGGGACAATTTTTGTCAGTTCTCAATAGAGATTCAGAAAACTTCCTCCTCCTCAAGTCCCAGTCTTAGCTCTTTAATATTAGAAAATAAAAGATCTTGGCTTCCTTCTCTTTTATGATATTTAAATATCAGTGTCTATAACTTTAATGACTGATGACAGAATTAGCCAAGAAACTGTTTCAAATAAGGTTAACATCTAAATACATAATGCCACAAATGAAATATAAACCAAATTCTGTTGACTTGGTTCATTTGCCACTTCGCATGTTATTTTAATTTTTTTTTAACTTAAAAATTCAAAGGGCCTAAACCAATATTTCAGTAATTTTAATTACAAGAGGTTTTAATTTATATCATTTGTGGAGACTGAGACGTTAACTGGGTCCTTGAGTTTCTAGACAAGAAGTTATCTGGTTGATTCTGTCCCCCACCTTAGAGATACTTAGCAATGTCTAGAGAAATTTTTGATTGCCGTGAATGGAGGAAGTGGGGTGTTTTGTCTTCTACTGAGCCAAGGATGCTGCTGAACACCTTTATCCTTTCAGCACCACACAGGTGGGGGGCGGGCGTGGGTAACGCGGGCAGCTGCTGGCGCATCCCTCACTCCCTTCCCATCCTGGGGAGGCAGGGAGTAGAATGCTGGGTCTTGGCAGGCAGCACTGACACACAGACGCCCTGTCCTGCCCAGCCACCGCCTCTCAGCCTCCTCCTTGCAGTCCTGGCGCAGTCTCCCCCAGCAGGCAGTCCGCACGCTCAGCACTCAGCCTCCTGCATGGGTTTTAGCTTCCTTCTTTTCAATACCAAAGTCCATCTTTTATAACTGTCCATCTTCCTGTATCAGAGAGCACTCTCTGGCTCATACCTCTTCCTGTTTCACACCTCTCTCTATGGAGCTCTTCAGTCTTCCTATACTAGAGACATGGTATTTAAGATCATCAAACAGATATCTATACTTCAAGTTTCTATATACTCTAGCTCCCTAACACAAGGCCACCTGAAGATAAATGTGATTCTAAGAACACAGAGAATTCTATTTGTTTCTTTTTCCCCTCTCTCTCTGTCTCTCTGTCTGTCTGTCTCTCTGTCTGTCTGTCTCTCTGTCTGTCTCTCTCTCTGTCTCTCTCTCTGTCTCTGTCTCTCTCTCTCTCTCTCTGTCTCTCTGTCTCTCTCTCTGTCTCTCTCT